GAGTCCAGATTCTCCAGGAGTGTACACAAGAGTCTCCCACTACATATCCTGGATTGAAGAAGTAGCTTTTAAAGATATAAACGATTTAAGATATTATTTTAAAATACATAGTTATTATTTGTAGCGAAAGTTTTTATTTTTTCCCCGTTTCAAAACTTGCAATTTCATGTAAGTTACTTTGTTTTTTTCATTGCAATTTTTCTTTGTCATTCTAAATGATGCTAGGAAAATGCAGTGCTCCATTTTTTTAGTTAGGTGAAGTAGAGAGAGAAGCAAATTTAAATCCAAATCATATTTTTGATTTTTATTTCATTTCGCTACCTCAATACCGAAGGTAGGGAAGCATTGTATTCGTGCGAGAGTTAAAAAAAAAATTGTGCTCAGAATCGAAAAAATCATCTCGCGTTTACGTTTTAGACATCAAGGATCAAATGCTATTGGAAATGAATAAAAACTGGGTCCAGGAAAAAACCTGTATTTCCTTGTGTTCGAATAAAATGTTTTTCGAAAGAGTAAATGAAATTATTTTTTTTAAATAAATTTTTTCCGTCGTGTATTTCTCCTTCAGTTCAGAGTTCAGAGTCAATGGGAACAAACTGCGACAGGGGCACAAGCTTTCGCATCTCACGGTGACCCAAAAACTACATCACTCTTTTGAACTGTTTCGGAATTTTTTTTAAACGTCCAAGGGGAGGGCCGCTCCTTGCAGAATTCGTTAGTGCTTGTCACGATAATATATATATATATTTTATGTATTACATTAGAAGATTCATGTATGAGGATGAATTTTCTCCTATATTTCTCTTTTCATTAAACAGCTGTTTAAAATATTAGTTTTCGAAAGGAAGGTCCTTCGGAGGACATTCGGAGAATTAGACGCAACCAAGAACTTATACAAAGAGACGGATGTGGTGAAATATAGCCGGATAAGAAGGCTGAGATGGGAGGACCAAGTTGTACGGATAGACGAAAACTCATACCCAAAGAAGCATGGAGCCGGGTAGAAAAAGAAAAATGGGCAGACCGAAACTGAGATGGAAAATGGAGTAAGTGCTGATGCCATAATCCATGCAATCAGGAACTGGTGGAGGCTGCTCAGGACAGGGAAACTCTTGAGGCAGCCAAGATCCAGTAATGTATTATCGAGCTAGGGGTGATGATATTGATCATATTAGAAAATTCGTCTTAGAGAATAATTTTTTCCTATATTTCTCTGTTCTTTAAATAGCTGTTTTTTTAAAATCTTTTTTTCGGAATTATTCTTCTACTATCCAAAGGGGAGCGCGCCCTCTGGCAGAAATCATTAATGCTGGTCACGATAATAACTTTTTTTATATATCACATTACAAAATTTGTCAATGAGGATGATTTTTTTCTATATTTCTCTTATCTTTAAATAACTGCTTTTTGAAACTTTCCCCCCACTATCCAGAGGCTCTCCCCTTCGCTGTATTATTATATAATAATATTATTATTATAATAATATAGCTTACTATATAATATAATAATATAAGATTATTATAATAATAATCGAATATTATTATATAATAATCGAATATTATTATATAATAAAACCCTAGGTCTTTAGGTCCATGAAAGTCTGAGGGCAAAAATTGTTCACAAATCTCCCTCTCCGGAAATTCTTTATCTAGAAAACCTATTTCCTCAGATTCATTTTCCCTTCTTTACGTTCGTATATATCGCCTTCCTCAAGTTAGATAAGATTCTGGTTTTGAATCCTCTCTTTTCTTTTACGTTCCTTTATACAATATTATAATAATAACTGGCGACTTTAACACTAATTTATGCTCCAATTCTCCCGACACAGATCATACCATGTAGACTTAATTCACTCCCTTGACCTTTTTAACGTTCCTTTTCAACTCACTCACTATATTCAGTTATCACGTACACTGATCGATCATTTTATAATCGATTTATCTAGAAATGTATTATCCTCCTCTCAGAATTAAGTATCCTTCCTTTCATGTCATGTCCTCATTAAGATCTCCTGTAACGTCCCTACTCCAAAGTTCACTCCTAAGAAAAATTCCTGGCGGGACCTCGATTCATTGACCTCTGAAAATACAAATCCTTTTCTTGTTACACTACTCTAGTCATTAGAACCTATTTATTCCTATTCTTCCATTGATGAAATGTTAAAATATATTTCTTCCAATCTTCTCCTATTCCAAAATCTTCATAAATCCCTAAAAACATGAATCTTTCAAAGACCTACTGCTCCCTGGCTTTGTAATGAAATCAGAGAGACGGTGAAGAAAAGAGACGCTATTAGGAGGCGTTTCAAAAGAACGTGAAACCCGGATGACTACATATCATTCAAGATCCTTCGAAACCATACCCAATCTTCCGTACGCCGTGCGAAGGCACAATTTTTTCACAATTCTCTATCACAAGCCCCGGATCCCAAGACCAGATGGAAAATCCTGAAAAATCTGTCCATAGTAAAATCGAAAGTGAGTACTTCATCCTGTTGCTCCTGATCAATTCAATTCCCACTTTGCTTACCTAATCCCTACACCCTTCTCGTCCTCGTACCGCATCCCAAAATCTTCTTTAACCCTGAAAATTTCTATTCTAGAAATATTTCACCCGAGGACCTTCTTTTCTCTGTCCTCAAATCCAGAACGAATGACTATGGATCAAATCCATTTGAAGCTAGTCAAAATATGTCTTCCTGTGATCTTTAATGCCCTTTTGCATATCTACAAGCAAATGGGAAACTGGAATTTTGTAAGGTAAAATAATCCTGTTCCTCATTTGCTTGGAAAAAACTCAGGAAATTATTTACAAGTGCTACTTCTTCGGCCCTCTTGGTTGAATTCAGGTTATCCAGTGGATTATTATATCAATGATAATATCCGCAATGTTTTCGATAAGCTTTACGAAACACACCACCAGGAAGCGCCACTATTGCGGAAGGGTAGTCTTGTCAACCCTCGACCTCTCCAACTTACATTCAGTACAAATAATTACCAAATATAATCTTAAGCTGACGTAAAACCTAAATCTTTCATTGGTCTATACTCCATTTATATAACTAAGGTATATTTTATACACAAGCTGATTTAAAAAAATATATAAATTTTTATTTACGGTATGCTGAATTTTCAAAGGAAGGGTGAATTAAATGCAAATATTTTCAATGAAGAATAAGGTAAAGAGTTGCTCCTGGCGAAATACACAACAGGATTAAGATAACTTACACTTTCTTGCATAATATCTCATTTTGACAGGATTCAGAAAAATTAATCAGACACAATAAAAAAGTATATACAGATAATGTAAGTAGATAGCAATGGAAAGGGCTAGGAGTAACTGGTCAGATTATTTAAATTGGTTTGGAGATTAAGACAATTTAGAAATTAAAATAACCAAATGTGAATAATTGAGACGTATAGGTAAAAATATATTTAAAGCATCTTTTATAAATCTTGCAGGCTCAAGTTGACGCATAATTTAGGTAATGTTTGTAAAAGGTAACTCCTTAACTAAATACCTCTTGGAGCATTGCGTTTTGTATATTATTACATATAGACTGCTAAGATACTTGTCTATCATATAGATATGATGATTGGCATAGTTAATTATGTAGAAAATGTGTAGTGCCAAGGGGGGCTTTTAACCCTGGCATAAATCCTCTGCCCTCACCCCCTGGCATGGGAAAACCCCATATAGCCATATAGACCAATCGCTAAGAACTCGTAATGCTGCTGACAAGTTCAGATTTAATATAATGTCAGTAGTATTTTGTTCTTTGATTATTAATCAATCGCTAGAAGTATCCTTCATGATCCTGAAACATTTTCTTTACATAGGTAATGTATTAGGATTTCATTTATTATTTTTTTAGTATCACCGTTTTATAAATTACTTTAAATTTTTGCATCACAGTCTTGTTGATACAGTTTTTACTTTCCATTTGAATTCCTAGCTTCCTCAGTATTGTTATTCCTAGTTATTGCAGATACTAATCCGAAAAAGTACAGGGGTTTGTGATTATCATTGATGGAAAACAAAAATTGGAATTTTAGAGGAAGGAGATGGCTCGGGGTGGCAGTCATTAGAAGACTAAAATAGTGAAAAAACTATTTTACAAGGTACAACAACAAGATACAAGAGGATGTAGACAATTTTAGAAGTTACATAAGGAAATATTGAAAGAAAAAGTAAAAACAATATGAAATAACGGACTTAAAGATCCGCCACCTCGACCATCTCCTTCCCCTAAAATATACAATGGTCAACCATCAAGTATTTAACAATTTAGATAAAGTGTCACAATTAAAACAAAATTTAAGGTAATGAAGTTCTTTCAATGAAACTGATTGCTTATGACAGTATGTAGCCCATTAATGAAAATCTGTTTGATTGACAGAATATATATGAAAACTCTAAGCATAAATAATATTATGTTGACAAAATTGAAATTGGAATGTGTGTTCAATCGATATTTATTTCCTATGAAGTAAAAATGGTAATTTCTATATTTACTTAAAATGGAGGTGAGATGAAGGGGGATCCCCTCCATATGGTATATCGTGGCGCAGACCCATGCTACCACCTATAAGGGCCGATGGCGCATAAACCTTTCCCTACCCCTCCCAACATATTTTATTTCTCTTTTGTTCTTAAAAATTGTGCCAACGAAAGTAGAATTTAAATATTCCTAGATTATATACAATTACAATCTCTTGATGTCTGTTCCATGCTCTCACTTGTCTTTTAAATTGAAACTTTTCATTTTGAAAATTCATAACCCCATCGAAATGTACCCCTCTCAAAAATTGAAAACTCCGTCAAAAGGTGCTCCCCTCATAAATTTTGATGGTGCAACTTGCGTCATGAAACCCCCTTCTCGGCACCTCTGTTAAGTACATAAACAAGAGAATTGAAGAATATAAAACAGTAGAAATAAATGTTGAAAACATGAAAATTCATTTTAATGTTTTCCTCAAATGTTCAGTAATGGTTATTATCGGATTGTGACCACTCAGCGAATACAAGTAGTTATATCTTTTTTGTCAGGAGAACTGTTTATTATAACTTTAAGATCAACGATCTTTGTTTGTACAAATACGATGACCTCTTTGTACTATCCAAACAAATCTCCCTCTACTTTCAATTCATATCAGTAGTAGATCTGCTGTTATCATTGTGCAGTCAAAATCTCAGTTACTCTTGTTCTTGGTCTATTTTAAATTAATTACAATGAATTACTCTGAATTAATGGATAAAGTAGAAGGATTTGATGAAAATGAACTGAATAATTTTGTTTCTAAAGTTAAAGATTGGGCACTTATGCATGGTAAGTTTATTTTAATTACTGTTATGCAATCCTCAGTACTCCAGTCATATACAGAGTAATTAAAATTGCAAATAAAGTTGCAAGAGCATGAACTTTGCATTTTTTAAGGCCCTTTTAGATTAATTTTGAACTTATATTAATCCTTTGAATCTGGGGTAGCATTAAATGTTAGATAATTAATTTTAAATTGGATATTTGCTAAGTTCTAGTTGTTGCAGGTGTAAATTAGATGTAATTTTTTCTGTTTATGTTTTCTTAAATGGAATTTTATTTTAATATTTTATGCTATTTGCACCTGTACAGCAGCAAATTTGTTTTATTTATATTTTTTACTGTGTATTTGCTTCATTTTGTTATTGATATAGTAAGTCTCTTGGCCATTTTCTTTTTAATCTGCGTCGTTCAGGTAACAGGGCGCATAGAATAAAATGAACCAAAGGATTGCAGTGATTTTGAGTTGAAGAATGAAATGTAGTGTATTTGTCGTGGATGTAGGACTTTACTGTTGTTATATTTAAGTTATGTATAGTGTTATTTGCAGTATACCAAGGTGCGTTTACAATTGTTGTAGAATTTTTTATTGTTCTGTTTGTATTTTGTTTTGCTGAAACCCATAGTTCTGCTCCATATGTCCAAATTGGTCTCAGTAGGGTGCTATAGATTAGCCGCTTGTTTCATAAGTTAAGTGAGGATCTGTAGTCCAGTAGATTTGAGGGTTGGCTATATTGTCTAGTAAGTTCTTGTCTTTTTAATTTTTATGTATGTTCCAAGTAAGTCTTTTGTCCAAGTGTAGTCCGAGGTACTGTACCTAGTTCTTGGAAGGCACTGGATTATTTTCAATCTTTTAGGTGGCATCAGGTAAATGAAAACATACATAATTAAAATAGCATAGGCACTGGGACTTCAGAAATATTAGGAAGGGGAGCAAAGGTTTGTGTAACCTGATAACAGTGTCCAATGCATACGAGAGGGGAGATGAATAGAATATTACATAAAGGAGTAGCTCACTAATCAGTTTATTATCTGTAATGTTATAGATTTAATACCTATAAGTTTTATTGAACTTTTTTTGAGGTATTTTTAGGTAAAAACTGAAATATTGAAGGGCTGGCCACCTTTCATTTTTGTCTGTAGACAATATTGGTGCGAAGTTGATTGGGGGTTTCAGTTAAAGAGAATCTATTCATCTATCTCCTTGGCACTACAACCATGAGTGAGTCTTGGCCTCCTCAATAAGCCTCTGCCATTCGGCTATCATGTGCTGCCGCCTTACAGTTGTTGGTCACTTAGAGGTTTTTTGCATCTGCTACCACTCCATAAGCCTACTTCAACCTTATTCTTTTCGGGTCCTATGTCTCAGGATTTCATGTTCACTCATCCTTACCACGTGACCAGCCCAACTGAATCTTCCAAGCATAATGAATCTTTCCTAAATCAACTTATTATGAAACCTCAAGAAGACAAGTCAAAGAGAATACACAAATAAAAATAAAAGATTTTTATTTGTTTGTTCTCACTGACTGCAACTTACCAACAATAATTTATTTCTGTTTTAGCAAGGAATAAAAGCCTCTCAAAAAGAATTCTTGGGGAGAAGAAATTGTTAGTGCTCTGAAGTAGCTATTTATAAAAAGCCAAAATAATTTAATAAGTAATATAAAGTAGAAAATATTTTTTTTATGTCAGCACACCTAAAAAACTTCTATTTGAGTTAGTTCTTTATTCAACAATGGCTCTACCTTTAATTTTCCTTTATTAAAATTGTTCATACATGCATTTTGTTATATTTTTTCAGCTGTTTTATGGTATTTTTTCCTTTTAATATCTTTGGAACCATTAATCATAAAATGGAAAACTGTTTTGTATATTGCAATTTATTATATATTTTAATTAAATTTTATAAGAAAAATTAATTTATTAGCTTTCGATTAAATCACATATTTGTAAAGAATCTATTTATATTTTTAATTAATTTTTTTTTAGGTATCGGTATGAGGTCAAAAAATAATTTTGATGAAAATTCCTTAGTCGTCGCACCATTCACCCTATTTCCTTCTCCTATAGCAAAAGATTGCTTTAACAGAGCAATTAGAGCTCAAACTTTACTAAACAAGCTGTTACATCGACTTGCTTATGATCCACAGTTTCTGGATTATGCCTTAGCTAGGTAAATAATTTTTAATAATAAATAATTTAAAAAAATATTTTTTCATTGTTTAGTTTAAAATAGAATGTATGGAATAATTATTATAAAAAGTACATTATTTAAAACATTGTGAATATTAGCTGTAATATAAAACATTTCCTGTGAGTCATTGACTTCACTTAGATTTATATACTCTTTTTGGAAGTAACTGACAGAAACAATTATAATAATTTAATAAGTTAAGAGATCCACTAGTATTCTTCCTAGAGCAATGATCTTTCCATTAGTTTATCTCACACAAGCATCTAATAAATTTAATTTAAAAAATTAAAGAAATTCTGCAATATTTAATAACCAGATATTTACTAAACTTTTATTGGGATATAAGAACTTTCGATTGATAATATTAATTTAGTTAAATTTTGAAAAAGTTTAATTTATTTATTTTATGTATATCGTTATTTGTAATTGCTATATTTTATTTTGGTTCTAAATTTTATTTTATTTCTCTTGTTAAGGGGCTTATCATTGTTCTCAGAATTCCGTTGAACCTGTAGCGTTATGACCTTTCATGTATTGACAAAGACTCTGATCAATAAGAGCGATTGTTGAACTATTTTAAAGCAAGGAATCATCAATTCAGTGACTTTCAAGGCTTATATATCTTTATTATGTGGTTAGCATATATCATGGGTGTGGCCAGCCTAAAATCAGTCCAAAGACAAAACCATGAATGTCCTATTTCTTTATTTTGAGAAAATAAGGATAGAAATTTTCTTTGGCTTTCAAAAATCAAGATAACCGTGATCACTGTATTTTATTAACAAAAATGACCTTTTTTTCTCCATTTTCATGGTTTGCCTTTAGAATGAAGATATATCAAGGCTGATAATATCATACGGTTAGCCTATTTTATCTTTGATGTTAAAGACTAAGTGGTTATTTATTTTTTAAATTACAGAGATGTCTGGTGAACTACCTATTTATTATTATTTCTTTATGTATTCTTTTAAGTTTTTAGAGATTAATAGAATCCAATAAATGTACTTAAATAAGTTTATTAGGCTTAGCTTAAACTGCTCATTTAAATTTGGTTATAAATAACAAAAGTTCCTGTGAGAAACATATAAATTCTTTATTCTATATCGTAGGAGGGAAACATTTTCATCATTAGAGGCCACAGTATGGTTAGGCTCAGAAAATGGAGGCCTCAATAATTTGTTTTATTTTACTGTTGCTATTTTTATTTTTAAGTAAATACACAATACACAAACTCACCCATTTAGATTTATTCAACTATATATTAGGATGCTAATGTACATTTGTTGTATATTTGTATTTATGTAGCTGGTATAAAATCTATTTTATTGTTTTATCAATATACATTACCATAGTGTTACGTACGTTACATTTGTTTTGTTGTAGTGTTTTAGAACATGACGAATTCACAAGGAAGCTGTATGAAATTTACACTGAAATAAGAAAAACTGAGCCAGCCCAGGTTTTTAAATAATTTATTTTATTTATGCCTTGTGTTATTATTATGGAAATGGAAATACTCAAAAATGGAATAAAACATTTTTTTAAAAATACTTTCTGATAATTTCTGTCCCTTTGAGGACATTTTATGAAAATTGATTTGGTCGTAGATCAAGTGTGAATAAATTAACCATAATTTGATCATATCGTTGCTCCCTGCTAAACGCACGAATGTGAAAATCACAACTTTTCAGAAGAGAAAAAAATATTTTGTTCTTTCTTGTTTAAGGATTTGCTTTGATAATTTTTATTTATATTTTAAGAAAATTAATTCAATTGTATTTTATTGTTTATTTTATTTAAAGAAACATTAAGTGCATTTTGATTTCATGAATATTTTACTTTTTATGATTATTTTATTCTTCTTTTGTTTGGAAATTTTAGGTTAATAGTAATGAGTTTGGTGAATATAACTTCCTTTGCGACTTATGATCACATTATTCTTTAAATAGTATTACAAGTTGACATTTTTGGAATATATTTCCCATCTTTAGAATTTTTGTCAGAATCTTTTCTATTTTGTTAGTGCGCTTCCTTTGTCATAAAAACATTGTATTTATTTTTGAATTTAACATCATCAGGAGCAACATTTATCTTGGCATTTATATAGCTAAACAATTTTATTGTGAACTCAAACGGAGCATATCAACAAAATAGAAAAAAATCTGACAAAAACTTTAGATAGTTGTGATAATATGAAATATATTTCCGAAATGTCAACTTGTAGTGCTTTGTGATAAATAAAGTGAATATGTCACAAAGGAAATTATATTTGCCAAAATTATTAGAATATTTTATTGTTTTTTTTTTGTAATATGAATTTATATTTTATATAATATTTTGAATTGAAAATTTTTCAAGCATTGCAAGTTTTAACATTTGATCAATAATTAAACTATCGGCTTTATTAAAATAATGATCATCGGGTTAAATAATCACAACCAATTATTACCAACAAGCAAGAGGCTTTATAACATTACATATTACTTTTTTCATGTACCGAAGAGAGTATCGCTTGTCGTAGTAAGGAATGATTTAATGTTCATTAATAATGGCATTAAGCAAGTAGAAATCAACACCATTGCTTCAGGTTTTGGTCATTTGGGGCCTTCTTCAAACAAATTGCACAGGTTTTATAAATATTAAATGTTATTTGTTTTTGAGGACTTTAATATTGGAGTATCATTGATATCTTAACACGATTAATATATATATATCTGTGGAACTGTCGGCATTGTGAGGTAGAATGGTTGTCAATTTTTATTTATTAATTTTTTCTAGTTGTGGTGATAACGTACTGGATGGTAAATTTTTTATGTTCTAATAATAATACTTCATTTTATTATTCATTCAAGGATAATTATGATAAATTGGTGACTCACATACATTTGTTGTTTTTAATGTTTGTGTTATAATATTAAAACACGTTCTTGAAGCTTTAAAAGGTTTTAAATAATTATAAAGTTTGTTAATATTGTAACCATATGAAAGAATTTTTAGTAGTTTCACAATTATATATGCCAAACTCTGAATTCAGCCAATAACCGATATTTTCACTTACAACAAACTATGGAAAAATCAAATACCCATGATGCATAGGTATGATCGCCGATTTAAAACTCTCTTAATTTCATTATTATTAGTTTAAATTGTCAACTCAATTTGAGATATGTTTAAATATTTTAATTTTAATTAAGTTATAAATTTAAATCATTTCACCTCCTAATAAGACTTTCTTTACAACTTTTTATTTTCCTATACCACTACAACCTATGGAGGGTCTTGGGTTCAATACTATTTAGGGAAAGTACTGTTTCTTATTCCAATTATTCACAACCAGAAGATATAATAATGTATAATTTTAATTAATTCCTTTGATGACCAACAGGTTTTACAACTTTACTATATAACAACCAAGTACTGTTTCTTGGTAAACGGTTGTACAAGGAGATGATTTGACTGAGATCATGCTCAACCACCAGATTTCCCACCTTAATTAATTAGTTTAATTAAGGTTACCCACTTTATAGAGGCTGTGTGTGCCCCGGGAGGGTCTTCTGACCCCTCCAGCTAATGAAACAGAATAAATATAAGAACTTTACTTACAGTTAAATTTGATGAAGCAGTATAAATTCAGACCTTGGCTATACAATTTAGATCTTTTGGTCTTAAAATAAATGCTTAATATTCAAAACCAGGTTTTGAAACTTTTTATAAAATTCAATTTTAGTAGTTTTCAAGAAATATTTTTCGGAAAGAAATGTTTAAAATATAAGTTATAAGGAACTTATTTGTAATAAAGTTCTGGATTTATTGTAAATTTCACTTTTATCTATTTAAATTCTTAATGGTAAGTTATGTTAAATGAAAAATAAATTGTAATTTTGCTTTTATTACTGTCAAAAATTATCTTGAATAAATTTCTTGGTTCTTGTATTTTCTTTGAGTAGCTATGAATGTATAGCACAATTATTATTTTTAGATTTATTTTTCGGCCAGGCGAATTGATTTTAAAGTACTTTTAAATAAAAGTTCTATAAAACATTTAATTGAAATGTTCCATCGGAAAAACGTTCTATTAATGAAATAACAGAAAAAAAAACACATTAAAAATAAAAGTTACTTATCATTTTAGGTGTTTTGCCTTATCACTATAACCAAACTGGATGAAGATTAATTTGGTACTGGTACTATGACCTTCAGAGTGTTAATCATATTAACCTGATAGAGTTCAGGGAATTCAGTGCTCTGTAACCATGTAAATTCTCCGGTTGACTGATCTTTCTTCCGTCCAATTATTCTACACAATACTTTATTTTCAAATACCTTAAGACATTGCTCATCTCTTGATGTAAGGTGCCACGTTTCACATCCATAAGTAGGTAGGATGGTATGGTTTTGTAAATTCTCATTTTGGGACAGTAGGCGCAAGCATAATAACACAGAAAAATAACAAGCATTTTCCACCATCAACCTATCCTTAATTTCCTCTTCAACTTTGTTTTTTTCTAATTGTCGTAGTCCCTAAATACCTAAACTTTTCAACCTGTTCATACATATTTCCTTCTATATAGAAATCACTGAAATTGTCACTGTTTTCACAGCTAACCATATATTTTGTCTTATCCGTATTTATTGGGAGCACCCATCTCCTTGCACAGTCATTATTACCTCCTTGTACAGATATTGACCAAGAAACAATACTTCCCATCATAGTAATGAACCCAAGGGCCTTCATAGGTAGTAGTGGCACAGATTTTTAGACTATAACAGATTAGAAATATTCATGACAGTTTATGGATATATTAGGTTTTCCTCCTCACAATTTGCATATAAAATGTGGTCATTCCAAGCACTGCCTACAATGCATTTCATTATCCAAATCCTTCTGGGTATTTTGCATTTATGCTTAGACCAATTGGTGCTTAATCCTGGCATTAGTGTGTTCACCCTCAACACAGTTTTGTATGTTTTTGACTATGACAGATTAGAAATATTCTCAATAGTTCATGGATATATTGGTTTTGCCACATCACATTGTGGGTATAAAATGTGGGCATTGGCTGAATTCGGTAATTGAGCGAATATATAATAAATAATCAAATAAAAAATTGATTTATTTATATTAAATAAGAAAATGGTTTTTAAATACAATTTCCAAAATATTTGTTTTAGAAAAATAAAAAAATTGAACAAGCGATATGTTTCGGTGACTGTAATTTATGGGTAAAATAATGCTAAAAATAAATTAAATTGATTGATTAAAATAAATCAGTTTTTTTTTAATATGAATAGATTTTTGTTTTACAATTGTTTTCTAACATAATATATTCCTTGCCAGTGGAAAATATCTGCGCGTTGTTTCTAAATATTTTGATTTATATTGTAATTGTCACTATAAATTTATGGAGGTTTTATTAAATCTTGATTTGAATTAATTATAACTCGTAAATTAGTCTTTTAAAATTGATTTTTTAAAAAATATTTCATTACATTCAACTCAAATAACTTTCCCCAAAATACTCTAGCTTCTAGAATTTTCATTTTAAATTTTATATATAATTTATTTATAACAAATGGTCCTGTATGTGAGGTCTGTTTTTGTTTTCTTACAAGACAGACTAAATGAATTTCTTCAATTCGCGCAGCAAAAAATACCATTTTTAGAGGATATCATGCGGTCTTTTCCGTTGCGACTACTTTCTGCATTCTGACGGCTCCTTAAAACAAGTTGAAATGAATACTATTTCTTCAAGTATGTCTGGACTAATTCATAGCCTCGGATATGCCCACAGGTATGTATTGATTTAAATGTTTTGTTGCTCATTCATCCGAATGCTTATGTGTTTATTATCTTAAATTATTTGTTGTTTAATTGTGCATTAATATTAAATTTTGTAACTAGCAAATAAAATGGTCCTCCTTCTAAAGTTGTTTGTTTTAAATAAAATTTAATTTTTATTTGCATGAATATTTTTAAAAAATCATTTTTTTTTAATTATTGCTTGATTAAGCCTGATTTGTCTTGAATTTTTATTTACTCTTACATTTGCTGTTCAATAGCTTTTGCTAGGAAAACTGTTTTTTTTTTTTTTAGTAACAATTATTCTAATGAGATTACCTGTTCACTTAATAATTATATATATAGTTTTAAATTAAAATAAATTCTTTATTACATAACTAGAGACATGATTTTTTATGTAAAGAAATACTTATATTAAATAATGAGTTCTAAACCTTAAAATGTACAATAAAATGGCCAACTATGCCGCTAAACAGTGGCCAAATATGCCACTATAATCTAAATCATTTAATTATTGCTTCTTTTGTTTGGAATTTTTTTGAACTTTATTCAGTTGTTGGCAATAAAAACTTCCATAATACATACAAATTATGTATTTGTTACAGTGTACTTATAGTTTATGTTTTGGGATACAATTCCCATCTTCAGAACTTTATGTTGCTTTCGCTAGTAGTCAATAGCTAGAAAAAGGTTTATTAAAATGAATATATATTACAAATTATGTTATTTGAATGTTGTTACAAATTTTTTATATTTATTTATATCATGTGTATCCCTTTGTCATAATTTAAACATTTTTTATAAAAGTATTATCTGGAGCAACTACATTACTGGAATAACAATTGTGTGTCTGTGTTAGCTACTTGAGGTTTTATAATAAATTAATATTTATAAATAAATATAATTAAATTCACGATAGAAAAATCAATAAATAACAAACTCATTTCTGGACATCGACATAGTTTTAGGACAGCTACTCTCCAAATGGACTAAAAAAGAAAAAAACTAGTAATAGAATTATAAATTATAGTCAAACCACATCCAAGGTATCAAATCATTAACACAACCAAAAACCTAATACACAAAGGAATAGAACTAACTGACAAACCTTTCATACCCCAAATAAAAACAGAAATTTATATCATTCTAATTGAGAATTTTTATCATATACACTTAATTAACAAATTATGTTACAGGTGCATATAGAACATATCACTTAATCAAAATGATAACAAAAACAAGAAACACTGAATGAACAGTGCAGCAAAAAAACCCACATAACAAATCATAACCCAATTCTTTGTAAAAACAAATACAACAAACAAGAACTATCAAGATAACGACTCACAAATAAACAGAATGAACTTGTTAAAAATGACATACATACCTGAACTTACAAACAAAATTAAGAACATTTTTAAAAATGATGACCTACCTGAAATCAAACTAGGACAGTACATTGACAAAAAATTAAGCAAATATATTACTCACACAAAAGATAAAATAGATACAATAGGTAAAAAAAAATGTGATTTACAAATTAAACTGTCAACATTGTCCTAAAATTTATATTGGTGAAACATCTAAAAAACTAAAAACCAGAATATTTCAGCCATCAACTACAAAAACATAAACTCCACAGCATTAGCATACCATAGTGTAAAACTACAATACAATTTCAATTTTAATAAACCATAAATAAGAGGAACTGAACCAAAACATAACAACATAAAATTACTTGAGGCCACCCACATCACAAAAAACAATAGAATAACAGTAAACTGCAAAACCTATACAAACACTTGGAAATTCATTATTCACATTATTGATATTATCAGGGGAACACATTATTAGTCAAATTAAATATTGTAATATAACTTTCCACTACCTCTTCTTTTAGGATATACAGGATTTTTCGGGGCCAGAGGGTGGGGACGGGGAATTTAAAATCCTCTCTGGCACTGGGTTGGAACTCGTACCTTTTTTTTTTTTAATCTCATAACTTCGGCTATCTGGTTGCCAGGCAACTCACATCACCGGCTATTTGGCCACCCTACCCAATATATCGTAATATAACCAATATATATATACCAATATTAAAAGGAAAATAATAAATAATCGGGTAAAAAGTTCAATAACAAACCTAAGTAGCTAATACAGACACCCAATTGTTAGCCCAGTAATGCCCTGCAACCTGATACATGAGATTAGTAGATAAAAATAGTCATGAATTAGCGTCCCAGTGCCAGGAGAGTCTTTTAAATCCCCGCTCTCACTCCCTGGCCGGGGAAAACTCTGTATAGCCTTAAAGGCAAGGAAGGGGAGGGCCAACAAAAAAAACCTGCTATCTTTTTATTTGCTGTTATACATCTTTTGAAGTCAGTTTTAGTATTTTAAAGAAGTTTTTATAATTAAAGCAAATTAATATATCAACTATTGAAATGTATAATACTTGCTATTAATAACGTTGATACAAATGCTAACTATTGTTAATGAAAATTTTCAATTTTGCAGTCTAGCGGTTATAATTATAATTAAATATTTTTAAAGAACAAGTACAAAATCTTCAAACATTCATAAATACACATATTTGTGTGGAAATTAAACATCCTAAGTTGGTGGTGATAGTAGAGTGGTGATTTTCAGATTCGATAATTAGCATTTGTATTGACAAAATAAGCGCACTAAGTAAGGCTACATGGCCCGTTGAAGTACAAAATTGCTTAAATTCATATTGAATGCATGCTAAAACTTAATACTATAATCTGCACTATTATGCATCAGCACATAGTTTATTTTAAACCAATGTACAGTTGAATCTCTGATTTAAGTTTAATTATACTCATTTAATTTTGCATACACCAATAAGTTTACTAATGATGAACATAACTATTTTTCAATAAATCAAATTCTTTATTCATATGTTTTTCTATGAACCAATGTAATATCGGAATTATTATACTGAAATAAGGATTATTATTAATAATAATGAGATACTTAATAATGAGAACTCGTTTTGCCGAGTACTTGAACACCCTCAGTGCTCAAACCATGCCCTGAAGATGACCCACATGTTTGGGTTGAAATGTTGGCATAAATAAAAATAAAATTTTTTTTAAAATAAGACTGCGTCCTGATCATTTATCACCCATTTTTAAAAATAGTGTTTGCTCTCTTTCTGATTTTCATCAAAATAATTTATTATTTAGGAGTCTAAATTCTTGGCTTTCTTATCTAATGATGTATCAAACTGTGCAACACATAAAATAATTCCTCAAAAATAATCTATCGCTCTGCATAATATAAATTTGTGGCATTGAATGAAAAAATATAAATAAATGAAATGAAATTTATATATAATCACTGATATAGAGAATAAATTTGCTTATTTACTAATGTTAACTCATAATTTATGGAATATTAATATGAAATATAAAATACATGTAATATTTGTTTGCAGATATGTTATTAAACAATTGGGAATGGATCAACATCTTAATCATGTAAGCATTACTTATGTTTAAAATTAGTTGTATATATTTAAAAAAAAAAAAAAACAGAAACAAGTGGTGGGTTGTAATCTTGCTTTCTGACTCATTAGTTATATAAAAATTACTAATCCAGTACTACCAATACTGGATACTAGTATGGTAAAATTTTGGTAATTTTTCTCTACCACTGACACAGAGATTGATATGATACTTCAATCTAACCAGAATGGGAGTGTCCACATTCATTGTGTGTGGGGCAACCTCAGAATAAATAATAATTTATTCAGGCTGGAATTGATCCTACGCTGCTCCAAACTAGACATTCTATGTCATTCACCCCAATTTGCTGGGCCATCATTACATTAACATTAACATAAGTCAGAAAGTAAAGATTGAGTATTAATAGTACAGATATATAACCAGATATGTAATCATGAAACCAGAATTTTCACATAGGAAATACACATGTAGTGTCTAAAAATCTTTAAAAATATTATATTTGAAATATCCATCACTAGCTGGATGCTTTTCCCGTTTCTCTGGCAATTTTTGAATTTATGCCTGAGAAACTATTGCTCTTTTGTGACGAACCATTCTTGTATATTTTCATAAGAAGTAAAGTACTGCTGAGCAAGTACATGCCCCCTTGATTCAAATAATAGTAGTTGGATGGAGCCAAGTCTGGTGAGTAAAATGTTTTTGTTCACTGGTGTTGTACCTGATTATTCATTATCATGAAGCTAAATCACTTTGTGTTATTTTTTTTATATTCTGGTCGTTTTTCATGCAATACTCAATTCAAATCGATTATTTAAACAGCCACACTGCAAAAGCCTATAAGAACATAACCAATAATTTTTAGGAGACGAAAAAAACTGCTTAATTTTTGTTGTATAAGCCTTATATTTTTGGTTCAATTTTTTTTACAGGCCTAAGACATAGATATAATGCTCCATTTAACTTTTTTGATCGTATTTCTGCCAAATAATCTTTTAGAGCCATTACTTCTAGCTTGGGTCGAAACGTTGGCGTAATTAAAAATAATATTTTTTAAAAATTTATTATTTGTTTGTCCGCACCTCCCAACCAATTCCTTCTCATATTATATCACGGTCAACAATCTCTACATCATTAGAGATTACATTTAATTTTTTATATCTTTGAGACAATTATAATTCAGTCGGTCTTTAACTTTTTTTCATTTTTTATTTAATTGTGATTTTATATTTTAAAATTTATATCTTTTTTCTTAGATACCTGTAAATTTAGCCCTTTCACAATTATGTCAAGGCCTTATAGAAGCTTGGAAACTTTACAGTGTCAAACGGTAATTATCAAATTATTCAACTTTTAACAGAATTTTTTGCCTGTATTAATTTAAAATAATCAGTTTTTATTTAGATAGGATGTTAATCCAAAGTGAATTCATTATTTTTTTTTTTAGTGCCGTTATAATGTTTGTTGTGGAGGATGTTACCTATAACATATGTGACCAGAGGTTTATGGAGTTCGAAACGCAAAACTTAAATAGTGATGTGAGAATAATACGAAGAAGTTTCAATCAATTACTAGAACAAGCAAAGCTTGGTGAAAATATGGAACTTCTAGTGTAAGTAATAGTTTTTAAAACAGATTAAACTGGTATACCTATGCCTATCCCTAATATGTATATTCAGAGTACAAACAATATTGGAGAAACATGTTTATTCTTATGAACCATCAATAAAATTGTTGCAAAATCAAGAAAACCTATTTAACACATTTAATTAGTGAAGCTACATACTTTATGTGTAATGTGTAATGACTATGTTGAAACAAAAATTTACTTCATCTAAATTTACGTCAACTACTTATTATATTGCCTCACTGGAAAGTAGCCTTTCAGTTAAAGAACTAAGCCTAAATTAATACCTGATTTAAAGCATTTATTTAAATGTTTTTAAAATTGATACTCTTAGTGATGGAAAAAACTATTTATCATGAGTAACAGTTACAACAGTTTCTAGTAATTAAAAAAAAACAGATACAACTGTTTCAAAACTTGAGGAGCAAAAAAAAAAAAAAATGACCAAAAGATTGTAAACTGTGTCTGAATCTGTTGCAGAGCGTTGTATCGGTTGCAAGTAGTTGTTTAAATGTTTATGTTTTGGAAAGCAGTTTAAATTAAACAGCTTCTGTATCTGTTTCGGAAAGCTGTTTAAATTAAAGAGATTTGTTGTTTCTTTCTTTCCACAATAGTATCCCTGTCTCCACCTATTAACCTGTACTGTAAGATGTCTTGGGTAAGTTCCTAAACTCAGTGCTGAATTTATTGATGGCTTCGTTTTGCTGAGTTTAGAAATCTTTTGGATGCCATCGATTAGTTCAGCCATGATTTTAAGAACTTTCACCTTCTATTAACTTGTATGTTGAGTGAAATAGTTTATTGTATCTGTTTAATGAAAGAAACTATTTAAAATAAACATATCATTACTAAACACCCACCACTACACTGAAAGTTTTCAAGCCAATCTTCATTAACATTAGCTCATTTACCTGTGATTTTTAACTTAAAAGTGTACAAATGGTTGAGTTGAGGGGCTTGTATCATTTTCAAATTTGTAGCATTGTTCAATTATCTTCCAGTCTGTCTTTGAAAATACCTCATCCAGTAAAATGCGAATTTTCACATGAAATTTTTTCGTGTTAAATGTTTCCTGAGATTATTGAGTTTGAAAATAGGAAAGATTCTGAGTATTATAAGCAGTGTTTACAATTTCTTTCTGTTCACTATAACTGATACCTGACAGCTTAAAGGATTTTGTAATGTGTTCCTTATAACAATTTTGTAATGTGTTCCTTATAACAATTTTGTAGCTGCTCAGTTCCCAATGTATTTTACCTATGATGGTTCACAGGACCGGAGATTTCCATTCATTTTTACTGTTCATAATAACTTATTGAAATAACACTGAACAATTTATATATTTATTTTTTATTTTAGAGGCAAAGATGAAGTAGCGGTAATTTACTACCGATGGGGTTACGATCCTAGCCATCACACAGATGAAACATGGTCTTTAAGGTTGATGATGGAGAAATCAAAGGCGATCAAATGCCCCAGTATACAGTATCATTTAGTGGGAGCCAAAAAGGTCAGTATAGATTTAGTTATGATATTGAAAATTAAACAATATCAATATGTTGAATTTATATTCTGGATAAAAAAAAAAAAAAAAAAAAAAAAAAAAAAAAAAAAAAAAAAAAAAAAAAAAAAAAATCAATTGTAAATATTTATCAATATTTTTCGTCTATAAAATATTGAGCTTCTCAACTATGCTGAATAACTTTTTAATAATAAATAAAGGAAACCTTTTAATATTAATAAACATATATATATTTTTAGGTTCAGCAGGTGTTATGTTTTCCTGGAATTCTAGAGAAATATATTTCAAACAAAGAGGAAGTCGAAATGATCCGTGATTTGTTTGTCGATATTTATCCACTTGATGAGGTAAGTTATCGAGTTGTATGAACACTTTTGACATAGCATATAGACAACCATACTACAGAAGTCTGTAGGTGTAAAAACTAAAAGTATTAATAAGGCAAAATAATATTTATTATTTTAATTTTAACTTCATGCTTAAGAAAAAGATGTAGTATTTTAAACAACATAAAATTGTAATAACATTCTTATACAGTGTGGATGTCGATGTGATCTTTTCATAGTTACACAGTATGAGCATTAGTATTGGTTACTGTCAGAACTAACATTTTAATATGTACATTTTTTTTCTGTTAGCATTTAAAATTTAGTTTTATTTTCATTTATCTGAAATTGCTACATATTCTTAATTATATATATTTTTTATTGATTTTTAATTTATGAAAACTTGTGAAAGATTGGCTGCAATGATTTTTTAAACAAATTTAAAAAATATATTTTTGTTTTAATGATTAAGTAAAATTATTCTTCCTTGTTATTTCATGTAATACTTGTTCACTTAATATATATTTTTATAATTTGTTTTTCTAGAGCCCAGAAGGAGAAGAGGGTTATAAATTAGCCATGACACAATTCAATCGCTTCGTTCTGAAACCGCAGAGGGAAGGAGGTGGAAACAATATCTATGGAGACGACATTCCTAAACATTTACGCAGTTAGTTTAATTACTATTTTATTTTGTTGTTTCTAAAAGAAAAAAGTACGACTTCTGTTTCTCTACTAAGTGTTAAATCTTGGACAATCTCTGATAAAAATTTCTTCTATTAATAGGTATTTCTCGTAAGGATGCTGCAGCTTTCATTCTGATGGGTCTGATAGAGCCTGTACCCTGCAAGAATATTTTGGTCAAACAGGACTATGTCGGCAAAGGTGATGTAGTCTCTGAGCTGGGAATATATGGTATCATTGTTGGGTAAGTCTTGATTTTTTTTTATTTTTAGTTCAGTATTTCAGTTATACCACAGAAAAAGTATTGTCTGCTCTTAAATCTTGAAGAATGAAACGTTTATAGAAAAAATTAAATAAGGATATAAGCACATCTCATAATGATTGGATGAGGGATCACCAACACTGTCTTTGCAGGCAAAATTTTATTTCCTAACCTAATCCACAAAAGCAATCACCCTGGTTACCAGTAACGGCTTTAGAAGGTGTTGCAGTTTAGGGGGCGGGGTCGCCGAATAGGCTAAAGCGTGTGTAACCACCGCTAGTTGCCTGGCAACCGGATAACAGAGATTTGAGATGATATAAAAAGTACGAGTTCGCGTCCCGGTGCCGGAGGGGATTTTAAATTTACCCGCCCTCACCCCCACTTTTTTTAATAAGTAATTAATTGGAAAGATAATCGTGTTTCTTTGAATAGTCATTTATTATTACTGGTACTAATATTGGTGGTAGGAATAGTCTAGCAAGTGGGCCTTATAGTACTTTTTTGCGAACCCCTGGTGGCAATCTTATATTCATCCAACTGATGTTAATTCATCATTTTGCAAACAATCACCCATAGCCAAATGACGAAAATTTCTTATTGGTATATTACAGAAAATAGTTGATTATTGTTCTTTTAATTATAAATAGATCAAATTATAATTTTTACCAAAGAGATGTAAAGAGATGCCGGCATAAATGCATTTTGTGAATGGCGGTACAAAAAATTACCGTACAAATATGTGTTACATTATCCATCGCATACTTACCATAATTGAGTGTCAAGATTCATCAGTCAGGCCTGCCAATAAATAAATTATAACAGGTGGGAATTGAGTCCATTACAATTAGAGCCGGATAATCTGGGAATGTGCTTTGACCATCAAAACCACTCATTTGTTATCATCATAACATTTCTAAATTATTTTCCACTCAATCTTCATCATTATTTTTCTCTCTTTTTTTCATGAAAGATAACTCAATTGCAAAGTTGGTAATTTTGTATTCAGCATATCGAATCAATTATTGATCTAATTGTGTGCTCATATACCCATATGTTAATTAATTATTTCAAGTTATCATATATAATAATTTTCTATAAATTGTGAAGCGCTGACCAATGCAATGCAGTGCAAGTATAAATTTTTCTTAAGCATTCATTGTTCTGATTATACTAATTTTTATTTTTTATACCTTTTTACTTAATGCATTATTAAATAATTATTTATTTTATTTAATAATATAACCCATATTATTAACGATAGTTTTTAAATGTTAAAATTATTATTTTTTATTAATATTATTAACTATATCAAACAATGAAAATCAAGGAAAACACTAACAAATTGATGCCCCTCTCTCTCTCCCACATGACTATTAACCTATGTGTCCTTAATTAGAAAAAGCCTGGATACTCCTAAGTAAGTTTTAAAAACAGTGACAATATTTTTGTTTATGGAATAATGTTCTATCTCCTTCTGAATACCTGAGTGCTGAATTGCTCATAAAAGAACCAAGCAAAGAGAAAGTTGAAATAGCCTTCATAAAATTAAAATCTTATACAGCTGTGGAAACCAATAATATTCATAGTGGAATAATTCCACCTTGTGGGTAAGCTGAAATTTCTAAAGTATATCTTTCAGTTAAAATGATTTGGAAATAAAAAGACTAGTCATATTATAATTATAAGACATTATTAGGCAAAACTATTTTTCAACCGTGAATTATTTTTTCTCTGCCTTCATCTTTCCATCTAATCATTTCATCTGGACACTATTTCTGTTCTCTATTACTGTAAACTAACAATTTCTTACTTGTTATCCAAAAGAAACTCCAGAAATCTCTAAGTTGCTCTTCTGTGTTTGAGAATAAAGATACTTGCTACATTTTGTAATTTTTATCCATAAGTTTCAACAATATGATGGTATTATTTTAACATTACTCCTGACTTTTCTAGTTCAAGTTTATGTTTTAATTATTGTATTTATCATTTTTTTTTTTTTTTTTTAAGGAATGAGAATGAAATTTTTGTGAATGAAGAAGCTGGTCATATGCTGCGTTCAAAGCTGGTGAGTTCACGAGAAGGAGGAGTCGCTGCAGGTGATGGATTACTCGACAGTCCTTATATTGTATAATAGGAAATTTGCTGGTGGGAAATTTTTGGTGCACATAAATAATATTTTGTAACAATCATTTAATCTATTGTTGTTTTTCATTACTGAACTAGTTTAGAGAGAAGATATCTTAATGCAGAAGTTACCATATGATGAATATTTTTTAATGATTGTTATTCCTAGATAAAAAAAAAAATGTATTACCAATATTAATACTCAGCAATAAGTGCACAGTTATGACTAATTTAAACAACTGATACCTATTACAGAGGAACAAAGAAACTACTGTGACCAGCGAAATAGAATTGTAATTTAAGAGCTACAAATTGTTATGGGATCTCCAGAAATCATTACTATCCAATGTTGAACCAAATCTTGTTTATTTCTTCTAAATTTAAGTTATGGGATTAAAATATTTGGCAATGGCCTAAATCATAGATGGAGAACCGTTTTATCATTATAGACTACATTAAGGTCAGGCAGTGAAAATGGAGGCCGCAATAATGTTTTTATATTTTGCTGTTGCTATTTTTATTTATAAGTAAATAGACACACTCATTTGCATACATATATTGAACTTAATTCTAATTATTTTCAAATTTTGTAACATAAATAATTAAATTTTAATTAATTCTAATGCGATATTAATAAAGACCAAGCAAAAAATATCAGTTTCATTCAGCCTCAGGGCCGGCCCCTGGTTCCCCACATTTGGTCTAAATTGTTTATTTACAAATAGAATTTTTTCCAACTGAGAAATTGAGAACTGCAGTAGCTGATTATATTGAACCCACAGAATAAATATTGACCATCTCCCTCAGGCTATGGTTGATAACCCACTTGTCTTTCCATTGTTAAGATTGTATAAAAACGTTAAACCTAATAAACTGTGAAAATGAAAAGTGTATTAAGTTTTTTTAAATATACATTGTAAAGAAATAAATTAGTCAAAACTACAAATTTATATAATACATATATTATATGTATTTCATGTATTTTTTATGTTTTATTACTGTTGTACATTTTAATAAATTAAAAAAAAGATTTTATTTTGTTTATTATTTATCGAAATACAATTGCTCAAACTGGAGCATTTGATTACATAACCATATTAAAGCAAATTGCTTATTTATTTTTAATTAATTCAAGTCATTTACATGGATAAGATCCATGTGCTTAAAAGCTGAAAGAATTGGTTTCTTATTTTTAAAACCCTTCTACTCCCACAAAGCAACTGTAATTATCTATAGTAAATTATAAATTAGAAATAATTTGCTTCTGCAACATCTCATGTACCTAGTGAAAGCAGATATTTGATTCTTACTGTATACATTGAATACAATATGATAAGCATTATGCTACAACTGCCTGACATATCCCATGATCTGATCTCAGATGCATATTTTATTTGGTGTTTAGTAGACTCGGAAAATTAATTTCAAAATGCACCAGGATATATGTATCCTAAAAATATTTTGAAAATAATATGTGTAATGCAAATCTTACATAATGAGATTAGCTATAGAAGTCAACTCTGTTGGGCTATCCACTTTTTCTGAAGATTCTAATCATCAGTTAGGCTATAATCTTTCATGGATTTCTAGTCATGCTGAGATACATGGTGATGAGAAACAGATTCTTCAAGAATAGCATCGGCTATATTGAAGAAAGGCTGTTAGACAGAAGATACTTTCCTTGGTGGTGGAAAATTAGATTATATAAGGATTCTAATTCTATTTTTTTTTTCTAGAAAAGAACCAGCAATATGACAAGTGAGGTCTCTAAGGGTGGGATATCTAAAGCTCAATATCAACATTGCCATCTATAGAAATATCGGAATTGAAATATAGAGTCGATATTTTCATCAATATCTCTCTATTATATAAAAAAGTTTTTAGTGTATGTAATGTTTTATTTTATTTTAGTATTAGGAGTGTAGGAGGTTACAGGAACTCTCTTATTGACCTCTGCAATAGATAATGCATTAGCAAGTGGTATGCTCTGCTAGATTAAAAAAAATTATTAGTTTGATTTCTGCAGTGAATTGTAACACAAGCATGGATTGCTCTCCACTACTGCAAACACCTATATTGCCTAACAGGCAGGGCAGCATTTTAAATAAATAAAAAATATTTTTGTGAAATGTCCACTTATTTTCATGATACAAATGTTAGTTATTTGGTAATACTTATTCATAAAAAGGAAATCAAAATTTGTTACAAATAAGTAAAGTGCCCAAATTAGGAGACAAACAATGGATTAGTGTATAACTAAATCTTAAATTGTGCAGCCAATGCTTTACCTGTTGTAAAAACCTGCCATTTCTACTGGAAATCTACTTTACAGCTAGTCAATAAATATGGTGTCTAATTATTGAGAATACAGCGGGATAGAGTAACAACTTTAAATTATTGTTGAAATTAAGTCTAAATATTGATTAAAAAATAAAATTAAAAACAACAAATTATTGTGTTATACCCTTGGAATAATCACTGAGTCATCAGATGAACATCAATAGAAAGTTTAGAGACTCAAACTGAACCAGTACCTGTAAAATCAAAATAGGAAAAGAATCTTTTATATAATTATTCAAGAGTGTGAATTAACATGTTCATTTCATCACATATTTTTGTGGATCTACCTACACTTTCCAATTGCTTCACATTTATAACTGTGGCATAAATGTATAATATTATCACTGGAAACAGCATGACAAATACGAAATTATTCTCAGAAAATAAAAATTATTTATGGTTTTATGTGTATATCTATTGCTTGGTTTATCATATAAGAGTGATGTATTTCTCCCCAATTGTCATGGAATAATTATTCTTCAACAATTATCGAAATTAACAGACAATACTACTCTTTTTTTCTTTAGTACTGCTCATATTTTCTTACACATGAGTTCTTGGAAAAGATGAAACTGACAAAAATAAACCAAGCTTAAAACAGCCAGCCAATGATTTAGTTAAAGCAGTTTATTAGAGTAAACACTGCTGTCCTACATTAGCAGATCCAGAATTTAATTTTGGAGGGGGGTTTCAGCCGGAAATCTTTTTTTTTCATATAAATAACGATAACTGCTTTGGAAAAAAAGAAAGAAACTACCTATATGAAATGGTGTTTAAGTGATTCCTAAAGTCCTTTTAAATGTGATTACACGAAAAATAATACTTTAAGAGATAATTTTTAATTTAGTTTTTTTTTTCCATAAAACATGGTTATATTTTACCATTTTGGGGGAAGGGGGCTTCAGCCCCAAAGCCCCCCTCCCCGTAGATCCTTCCTTGCTGTCCTATTAGTGTAGAATTGTGATAGATAAAAGATGAGAAAAATTGTAATACATCCCGTCTCTTCACTACTACCATTGATGAGAGCTCCACAGATCTATTAGTCCGATGTAAACTGACGTATACATCAGTATTAAGCGATTATAGAATGAAAACAAGATATTTTACCATCTGAATAACTCTCATTTCAGAGTTGATAATAAATTTACAAAGAATTTGTCTTTAATAGTCCGTGAAACGATAAATTGTCCACAGCCCCTAATTGAAGCGAAATAAATTAACAACTCGGAAGGTGTGACTGTTTATCCAAAGAGGTAAAACACTTTCTCTATGTAATATTCTTTTTGAAACAGTCATTCGTGAACCAAGAGTTGATAAGCGATAAGAATTATTGTCAAACAAACGGACATGACAGCTTTACAAAACAAATGAAGATAGTTTCTTCAATTATGAAATTTAGACAATATATTATTTATTTTGGAAATAATTTTAACACCCATACTATTTCCATTCCTTCTATTTGAAGTGCGACTTGATTACTGGTAAAACTTCATTTTTGAACCCAAATTTTTAAATATTTGTTCACTTTTTAGGTATAATCTTGATTGAATTTAATGTGTTGTAGAATGAAAGGAATATAAACAATCTAAGATGGACGCACAGAAATATCAAAATCCCTATTCCGAAAAATGTCTTCAATTATTTCTGACTGAGGATGGAAAAGTATGGTTTTATATCATCACTTAGTTATTAATTATTATTATTTTTTTAAATGGAGTCCTTGAGTTTACGTGAAGCTAATAAATGTAATAACTCATTTTGATTTTTCTAATTATAGACATGTTATATCAGTTATATGCTATATGTGCTGAAAACCAACAGTGTATGTTATTTTTAGTACAAGTTTCATGATTTTTGTAGACAAGTAAGGTCCCCTACTACAAGGTTAAGTACCAGTCACAAGTTTTTTTTTATTTATTGAGCTAGTTTAGATAGTAGAAGTTGATAGCTACGACTTACTTTATTAATGTAAAAAGCGAAAGTAAAAAAATCAATTGTTGAAAAACATTTATTTATTTATTTATTTTACATTAACTTTAGACTTTTAATATGACTTTATAGTCAGCTTCTTAATGGTTGATTATCCTTGTTCTTTGGGACTTTTATCATGCTTTGTGAATTTTTGAACATTTCATACAAGGACTGCATTTCTCCCCATGTTTTTCAAGTTTAAAGTACTAAAAATTAAATTTAGATAAATTATTGAAGGAAGTTAATCGACTGTTCTACATATCATAGGTGATAGATGATCAGGATGCAGTCAGTTTTTTAAGATTTTTATTTGTCAACGTTTCAAACCGTGCTTGTAAGTCATCAGGGCATGTTACCAGCACTGGATATGATCCAGTACTCTTGGAAGATTTCAGTGTTTGTAACATACCATTATGATAACCCACAAACTTGGGTTGAAACATTGGAAAATAAAAAAACGACTGTCCTAATCATCTATCACCCATAAATTTTAAGAAATTTTCATTTCATCTTCATTTCGTTGGTACCACTCTATTTCTCTTTTTTATCTATCTTTTCTCTATTTTTTTAATATTCTCTTTATTTTTGGTATTATTTTCTTGGGTATTTTCAATTTTCTTGTTTGGCAAATTTTCTCTTTCTTTGCTATACAGTAATTGTTTATTTTTATATATTTATTTTTGTACCATTTCTACCAACCTATTTATAATTTTTTAAACAATATTATGCTGTTATTATTTCATTTGTTTTATTATATCCTTCCCTTATCTATTCCATAGCTCTGAATTACTTTTTACCATAATTTCAGTAAATTTATGAACTAAAATAAAACACTAATGAAGTTTTTTTTTTTTCTAATATTAGTTATGTCCTAAAATGTAGTATTCACCAGCATATTTACAGTTCCAATTTTTTTTTTTGTGGATGTATATCTTAATCTTTGTTGCAATAATGATTTAAGATTTTTTTTTTTTTTTACAGCTGCAAGAAGATATAGTTTCAAAAATAAAAGAAACAGATGAGAATTTCGAAAAAGAAATAAGAAGAACATTGCCCATGTTCAAACCTACTGGAGATTTTTCGATTTACACTGGCTACTGTGGGACAGCTCTCTTGTTTCTCCTAAAATATAGAAAAACTAATGATAAGTATTATTTAGATGTGAGTAATTACTGGTTTTATTATACTAATAATATAAAAGTTTATACTTAGTTTTTATTTTTTGATTTTTCTTTAATTAGTTACCTTTATATATTTAGAAAAATAAGTGTTCCAAAAAGCATAAATAAGATTAAAAAAAAATTCAGTGCTGGAACATTGACTTATTTTTATTTCCCCAAGTAGTAATTTTTTACTGTTTTTTTTTTTGCATGTTGGATCTGATATATATGGTAGCTTTTTCTTCGTCTATTTTAGTCCATCAATAATTTAATTTTGGAAAAATATGACATTTCCATGTTTTTTCATAGTGATCTTTATATAACTATAAAATGAAGAGAAGAATAGTTGGGGTGCTCAGTCAAAAAGGAAGGCTAAAAATAAATTATAATATTTATTTTTTACATATGCCATTTTTTACATATTTATTACATATATTTATTACATATTTTTACATATAATAAATATTATAATTTATTTTTTGCCTTCCTTTTTGACTGAGCACCCCAACTATTCTTCTCTTCATTATCCACGACAGTCAACCAATTACCAATTATATAACTATAAAATGGTTTGGATGCCGGTTGGTGGTACACTTCACACATTTATGTGTAAGTCCTACGGGAGATGTTTATAGTGAAGTATATGAAAACGTTTCAGGATTTAGTTTATCTCATCTTCAGACCATTTTGATATCTTTGTATGATCTTGATTTATCATAAGACTTGTATTTTTTTTTTATTTAAAAAATCCCTTAACTTCAATGTGGACCGTTCACAACATTAGAAAGTGCATCATTTGAAAAACCGCGTATAGATGCATGAGACCCCTTCTCAGACTAAAAACAAGTGAACAAAAGATCTAGAGTACTTTTCAGAATATCTGACAAACTTTCTTTACTTATTATTTATTAAGTACAAATCATAAAATAAATAAATTATTTTTTAAACAGTAATTACCTAACTTATAAACTCATGGTAAAAGGATGAGAATGTATTTGTTTTACGTGGCAGGTGGGGCCTTGCTTGACATAGTAATTAATTCCCCTAAACTGCAAAAAACGATTTAACACCGTGATATTTTATGAGCAATAATATTTCATTGATACAGTATTCCAATAGTAACACTAGAATCTGAATATTTTTAATTAAAAAAATTTAAACAAAAAAATTAAGGAACCTAGTCAACACTGAATAAAAGACATTTGTGGGAGAGAAAACTGTTAAGATTTTCATATACCTCTAAGATTTATTTTATTTGATGCTGATGTTTTGGCCTATCTTTCAGAGCTTCTAAACCTACGGAATGTGTGTTACAATAATAATAATTTATTATTACTATTTCAAATAGGGATTGGGGTAGCTCAGTGATAGGGCACTGATCATCCAATGCTCAATGTCCAAGGTTTGAATCCCGGCTCATGGCAGAAAGATTATTTATTCTGTTTCTTCAGCCGTGGAGCAACCCTGAGTTCAGGAGACCACCCTTCTGGGGCACACACAGCCTGTATAAAGTGGGTAACATTAATTAAATAATTAATTAAGGGAGAAAACCTGGCTGTTTGAACGTGATCTCAGTCAAATCACCTCCTTGCACAACCGTTGACTAAGAAACAGAACTTTCCCTAAATAGTACTGAACCCAACACCCTTCATGGGTTGCAGTGGTACAGATTTTTTATTATTTTAAATATTATAGATTCTTTAAATAAATTTAATTGAACTAATAGAAGAGAAAAAAATATTTATGTAAGAATAAGATTTTGTACTAGATTTATTTATTTTTTTTCAGACAGCATTAAAACTTGCTAATAATGCACTTGACAATATTGATGAAACTACTTCTGTGAGAAGTAAGCGGCTTAGCTTTCTTAATGGTAGATCTGGTCCATTGGCCCTAGCTATTGTCCTTCACAAGCTTAATGGCGAAGAGAAGAAATCAGATGCACTGATAGAAAGGTTTAACTCCATTTAAATTATTTAGAATTATGAGACGTATTAGTGAATATGCTTGTGTCCTGGTCTTGTGAGATTATTTCAGATTGAGTATGTAGAAATACTGACTTATAAAATTTGTTGAACACGCACTGTTGCCGTGAGCCACACACAAGAAGTGTGTAAACACTCATTCACTTCTGTTACAGCTATGTTAGTATTTAATATTCTTAATTCTTCAATGATGGCAGATGTTACAGGAACAGAATTTTTTAATATATATATATATGCATATATATATATATATATATATATATATATATATATATATATATATATATATATATATATACATACATATACATATACAGGAAGAGATCTTCCTCTAAATCTTTTATTATTTTTGTTGAAACAGATTTTGGTCTTTATTTGATTTTTTTTTTTCTCATAGCCACCTGGTCTTTTCAGTCCCAAAATTTATCGAATTGTTTCTTATCCCTTGATTGGTTCATTCGGATCATATGTCTATAGAATTTTAGCCTTTGGTTTCTGATTGTTACTGGTAGGTCTTCAATCCTGTGGTATCTATCTTAGTTTGACATCCGTCTGTAGCCTTCTTGTGTTCTTTTCATGGACCGTAAATCCTTATTAAAATCTTTAAAGTTCAGTTATATTTGTTGTTTTCATGGCATACATGATGATTGGTGCAACAACTGTATTATGATGACTTAATTTTTCATTTGTAGAATTGTATTTATTTTTCGTGTTAAAATTTATTTGCTCTAATATTTTTTTATTTTATTTTAATCACTCGTTTTCTGTCCTACTTCCATTAATTATTTTGCCAAGATATTTAAAATGGTCCACTATATTAACTTGACCATGTTTTGTTTGTATTGTCTTTTTGGAGCATTTACTCGGTACTTTTCATCATTTCCGTTTTTAAAAAGATCTGAAGGCTTTTTTTAGATGGTTAATTTGGTTGATGGGTTCTTGTTCTGAATCAAGGAAAGGATATTTGATCTTTATTAAATAACAATGAATAATATCAACTATTGATGTAAAATTGAATTAAAATAACCGATATCATTAATGTATATATTTGAATATAGATAATAAATAAATTGAAAATATATATCTCTATTTATTCTTGGAATAAATAAAATGGACTGCATTACTTGCCTCATTTTTGTTAGAAATTTTTTTGTGTTAGATCATGAGTTTCTTTTCTACAATTTTCTCGAGGAAGATATATGGACAACATTTAACAGAAGGTAATCAATCCACGCCAGTACTTTGAGTTAACTCAAGTCAAAATTAAATGGACTTGGAAACTCTTTTAGTTTTCAAATATGTTTATTTTCTTTCTTGTCACAAACCTAACTTTATACTATATTTTATAGCCACAAAATAATTTGGACATCAAAATATAGGTAACATCAATAGATTGATTAAAAATTAAATGGACTTGGAAAATATTTTAGTTTTCAAATATGTTTATTTTCTTTCTTGTCACAAACCTAACTTTATACTATATTTTATAGCCACAAAATAATTTGGACATCAAAATATAGGTAACATCAATAGATTGATTAAAAATTAAATGGACTTGGAAAATATTTTAGTTTTCAAATATGTTTATTTTCTTTCTTGTCACAAACCTAATTTTATTCTATATTTTATAGCCACAAAATAATTTGGACATCAAAATATAGATAACATCAATAGATTGATTAAAAATTAAATGGACTTGGAAAATATTTTAGTTTTCAAATATGTTTATTTTCTTTCTTGTCACAAACCTAATTTTATTCTATATTTTATAGCCACAAAATAATTTGGACATCAAAATATAGATAACATCAATAGATTGATTAAAAATTAAATAGACTTGGAAAATCTTTTAGTTTTCAAATATGTTTATTTTCTTTCTTGTCACAAACCTAATTTTATTCTATATTTTATAGCCACAAAATAATTTGGTCATCAAAATATAGATAACATCAATAGATTGATTAAAAATTATATACCTGTAGATACCTGAACAAAGAGATGGTTCTTTTCTATTGAAAACATTAACCTTCCAGTGGGTGCACCTTCATTCGTAACATCAGCAGGTGTGCGGCTTTGGAGTGCATCATGCCATTTTGGTATCGATTAATGGTTTTTTTTTGTTGTTTAAATTCTAAATTCAGTATTTTGTGCATTAATACAATTTCTAATTATATTTAGTTATATTGAATTATTGTAACTTTTATTTTTTGTTTTTGACTTAATTTTATGATTAGAAAACAAACATGTTTATTTTCTTGTTTTTATATATTCAATATAAGGCAGGGAATATTCAATAAAATACATTTTTTTTTCTGTTGGCATTACAGACCATAGATCTTTTGCCGCCTTAACAAGCCTGTTCTATCTCTGCCTTTCTTGGGCTATTTCTTTCCATTTATCTGTACGCATTTCTATTGCATATTTGTTGATTCTATCTGTCCATCTGTTTTTTGGCCTTTCACGTGGTCTTTTGCCTTCGTTTGAGGCATTCATTGTTTCTTAGAGACTCCCATATGGGTTGCTACGAGCTACATGCCCTGCCCATCTTAACCTCTGTGCCTTCATGTCATGGGATATTGATTGAACAGTTTCTGTAAGCAGTTCTTTATTGGTCTTTCTTCTCCATGTGTTAGTACTCTTATCCTAGATCGCTCCGGTTATCTTGTGGTGGATTTTTCTTTCAAATCTTTTAACACTTTTTTCTAGGGTGCTGGTTAGAATCCAGGTTTCACAATCATATATTAGAACTATATGAACATATTTTATGTACTTTAATTTAACAGATTATATCTAATATATATATAAAAACAAAATAAACATAAGTTAAGCAAGCTTGATAACATAAAATATGTTTGATTATAAAATAGCATAAGTGTATTATATAAAGCAATTAGATGAATGTCAAATGTGAAAATTAGAAATATTAAATGGAAGAATTGTAATCAGATTTGTTTTGCCGATGACGAAAAATGTAATCATGCAAATTCTAATTTCCATAACAAAAATTACTCCAAAATAAACAGCAAGCTGATCAAAAACTTCAATTCAACCACGAACACCAAAAAGATGCAAGAAAAACTATGAAACAAAAAGTATTACACGAGTAGGGCGCTCGGCATACGGAGTGTGCCACAACCGTTTTCCAAGCAATTTGAAAAAAATACTGGTGGTTCTTAGGTTCTGGAGCAGGTATGAAGGTAATAGATGGACAATAAAGGTCGATAAACAAATAGCTACATTCAGCATGACATCCGGGCACTTTGAGAGGTTTGACAGCCTGAAACCGAGATTGGCGCATTCTGCACCCGCTGGAAGATTAAGCACTATTTCCGTTCAAAACCATTTCTACTTATTTTTAAATTTTTTTTCTATTGGTATTTTTTTGCTGAATACCATCCAAATATAGTTACATTGTTAAATCCTAGAATAATTACAGTAAGCTTTTTAACTTTTAATTTTTTTTTAAATTTTATAATAAAAGGTTGCTGGAAATAGAGGTTGAGAATTCGTCAAATCATGATGAAATATTATATGGACGGGCTGGTTACCTTTATAGCCTTCTCTTTGTAGATAAATATTATGGACCTGTAATTCCTGTAGAATGTTTTCGCAAAGTAGGTATTATAAATTAATTAATTAACTGTGAAAAGAAATGAGTTTGCGTATATATATGTGTATATTTTTCCTTTTAGGTGATTTACTGTATCATAAAGTCTGGATGGAGGAAATCTAAATACAAGAACAGTCCATCAGTTCTTTCTTTTGAATGGCATAACAAAAATTATTTCGGGGCAGCTCATGGTATTGCTGGCATATTGCACGCTCTATTGTGTGTGAGTATTTATTATTAATTTTACTACTACTACTCCATGAAGCTACAGACCAGTGTGATCTTCAGTCTTCTCAATTATATGTATGCCAGATTGATCTTTCCTGGGCAGCCTTTCCCAATTGCTGGTGGCATTCTAAAAGTACTAAACTGCTAAAAAATGAACAGAGATATTGTTAGTTAGGTTTGATTTATTTTCCCTAGAATTTATATATTATAATATACATTGAAAATCAATACAAATAACATTGTATTTGACCTCAGCAAATTTTATAAAAGTTTTTTTAAAAAATAATAAAATTAAAAGTTTTTGTGATCTTGTTTTCATGATTAAGAATTGTTAAAATTTTATAAAATTTAATTATTTGTGTAATATCATCTGTTACGCTCTACCTCTCTGTACCTATTGAGCATACTGTTTATAATGTTGTTACTGATTTCACAAGGAATTTCGTGTCATAAACATGGTAATACTGCTCTCAATCGCTGAAGGTTAAGAAACTGCTAATGGTGATCAAAAAGCCTTCTCTGCAGTGCATCCCACATGTGCTCAATGGGATTGAGATCTGGAGAAAATTGGGGAAGGGGCAGATGTGAAATGTTCAGATCTTCAAGACATTGATGAACAACTTTTCCCCTATGAGGTCGGCATATATCGTCCGATTTATATTGTCGTCAAGAAAATATAAATCTGTATCAATTACGGCCCTGGTTTGAATGTACTCCTCTATAATTTTTTGAACATAATAAACTGCAATGAAATCATCTTCTACAATATGGAATAGAATCTGTCCTAAGTAGATGCCGGCTCATGCCGTCACACTCCTATCTCTAGACCGCATTGAAGGAAGCACAAACTGTGACAGTGAACCCATCATCCCCCTGTTCTCGGAAGGCTCTTTGGCACCTACAATCCCTATAAATACCGAAATGTGACTCATCTGTAAATATAACCAATTTATAATCTCATTTACGCACGTACGCCACAAAATCTGTGGAGTTACTGCTGTTCCACTGTTGCTGTATGTCATCTTAAAGGGGCATTCTATATATATAATATAGGAGGAAATATATATAATATAAGATGTTAGACCAACTTCTCACAAACGAAAATGAATTATTTGAGTTGTTTTGGGTCTTGGCAGAACATTTAGGATATCTCAGACACTATTCAACTTCTTGCAGTAATAACCTATAACCGCCATACTGCCAACAGCTTCACTGCTTCAGGAGTAGTATTGATAGATAGATATTTTTATTGCTTTCAAGCTGTTCAACTTACAGCAATGGGGAGGTTTTGCCATATACATACATATATATATATATATATATATATATATATATATATATATATATATATATATATATATAAATTGATATATCTTCCATGGCTCTACAGCTCATGAAGATTCTTAGACGTGTCCGCTAGGTCCTGTCCTGCACAGCCACTTTCTACACCAAGTAGTACACATGCATCCTGCCATCGCAGATGTGGTCTTCCTACTCACCTAGCTGCTTGCTCATTGCTCTCCATAGTTTTTTTTTGGATTTCATTATTTTGCATCCTCGCCACATGCCCTACCCATTGCAGTCTTGCAAGCTTTATGGTTCTTATGACATCCAGCTCCTTGAACAGACTGTGTTATGTTTAATCCTTCAATTCTGTTCATCAAGCACAGGACCATAAATTCTGCGGTGTACCTTCTGCTCAAATAACACTAGTGCTTGCTTGTCTGTTTGCGTCATGGTCCACCCTTTGGAGCAATACCTCAGTACTGGACAAATGAGCATTTTATAAATCTGTGTCTATGTGCTATGAGAGAAGAGTTTACTTTTGAAATGCTTATTTAGGCAAAAATAGCACTTGTTTGTTGCTACTATCCTTTTCTTGATTACTAGGTTTCCTTTGTTTTCTCTATTTACGAGAGATCCCAGATATGTAAACTCATTAACTCTCTGGAACTTATAGTGCGCGATCTCAAGGTTCCTGGAACATCAAAGATGTTCACTTCATGTAAAATTACCTATTTTGATTACACTATTTTCATTTATAAAATAAAACCACAACAAATTATCTTATGGCTAATCATCATTTTGTAGCTTTGTGTGAGATTTCTAAGAAGAAAATGAGACCTTATCTCTGTTTAGGCTAATGAGATGTTAAGCGAAGATGAGAGAAATGTAATTATTCCTAATACATTAAAATGGTTGGCTGAACAAAGATATCCAAGCGGTAATTTTATTTCTTCCGAACATAGTAATAAGGATCGATTGGTTCAATGGTGTCATGGTTCTCCAGGATTTGTACATCTGTTTTTACGAGCTTATAAGGTAACTTATAAAATATATGTAGAATCCTAAAATATATGTATATATATAAATATGCATAGTATTTTTTTGATGCATTATATTGTTAATGCTAGGTATATGGACATAAATGGCTGCTGCAAACTGCCATGGATGCAGGGGATACTATTTGGGAACGAGGGCTCATCCCCAAGGGATATTCTATTTGTCACGGAGTAGCAGGCAATGCATATTCTTTCCTGGCACTTTATAACGTTACGAAGGTTCAATAGTTAATATTTTTCATTTAAACAATAATTTAAAAGGCTGTTGGCTTATTCAGGTTGGATATTAATGGACATTAATTATTCAGGTTGGATTCCATACAGTCACTGTTAACCTTATTTAAAAATTACAAAACAAAAGTTACACTAATCAACAATAACGGTGGTTTTTGTTTTTTTAATAATACAAGAAAAGTAATACAAATAATAAATAAGACATAATACCTAAGAGTCCTCACTCATCGTACAAGAAGAGATGAAACTGACCCAATCATTGGATGAAAATACATTTGACTGTGTAAAATATTTCACATACCTTAGAGCCTGGTATCAGTATGGAAGACAAGTTAGAATTCAAATTAAGAAAGAGAAAAATAATAAGAAACCGTGTTTTTTTTTGTTTTAAAAAGTTAATGTGGTCACACTTACTTTCAAAACAAACCAAGATAAAATCTTACAAAACCTTGGTCGGACCAGTCATCATCCATGTATTTAAAACATGGACAATGAAAGGTGCGAATGAACACAGGCTCTTAGGATATTTGAACACCACATTGTTAGGAGAATTAATGTGAGATTTTTTTATGGTATCCAACCTGAATAATAATCATTTAGTTAAGTTTTTTATTAAATTTATTTATTAGTCTGTTCAAAGATCTATTGGGCTAAAAAAAAAATGCAACAGTCCTTCAATTTTTATATTATTATTTTCAGAATGGAAAACCTCAGCAAATATGTAATAAGTATTTTTTTTTTAAATATGAACATAAAAAAATTTGGAACTTCTTTTATTCGGTGTGGTAAAAATCTCTATTTGTCTAATTAATTTTCAGAAACCCTAAATTTTTATGAGAAAAATCTTTCAGTACGTCAAATGAAACTTTTTATGCATATCAAAGCAAATTTTCATGCTTTGAAAGTTAATTAGGGTAGAATAAAAAATGATTATTCTGAAATAATGTCTTCATAGAAAAACACAGTGTTAAGAAAAATAAAGATTATTAATAGCCAAAAGACCAATTACATTGAATAAATAAAAAAAAAAAACAAGAAAAAAAAAAACGACATTGGAGTATAAAAAATATATACAATAAATGAAGAATAGAAAAAAAATCCACTTTTAAGAAAAAAATGAATTCCTCTAATAAGTAAGCAAAAAGTCTTCACGACTTTCACTTACCATCTTTTTGTTAGCAGAAATAGGTATTTTCAGACAAAACGGAAGTGAAAGTAAAAATTATAGACGATATTTATTTACATTTCATTGTGGGTATATACAAATTTGAATTTTTATATTGTATTCTATACAATTAAATATTATATAATACGAACGATTGTATTTATATAAACCGCATGTGTATATGTACATAATATTGTCAAAGTCTGTATTATATTAATCTCATGATACGTATGGAAGCGTGTTTTAATCATTCGGGCGAGCAATATTGCTTCGGTTCCTTCATTAAAACTATTATCCTTTAGGATCTCTTATTTCTCCTTTAGTTAATTATCAAATTCTTACATATTTTATATTTATGAGAAGGAATTAGTCGAGGGTGCGGTCAAAAAATAAAAAAAAAATTAAAATATATAAATAATTTTAATTTTTGCCGACGTTTCGACCCACTTTGCAGGTCGTCTTCAGGGCTACAAAAGATACAAACATGTTGAAAAAATAAAAATAAAATAAAAAATAAATATAAGTATATATAAATTACGAAGAAGTTGTCAGATACAGAAATAAAAGATAAAGAAAATAAATACATGATAAGAAAATAGATAAAAGAAAATAAATACATGAATGTTAACGAATAAATGAATGTTAACGAATAAATTGATTGAAAATTGAATAACTATTGTTACAGTAAAGTTAAAATATGGATAAGATAACATAATAATAAGATATCAGTGGATAACAAGCAAGTGGAGGTTACCTTTAATTGTAAATAAACAGATAACGGGACCAAAGGTTAAGAAGTGAAGAAATTGAAAGATTAATAGGGTAACATTAGTGTAATATTGTTGGGATAGATTATTAAGTATAAATAACTCTATAAGAAAACAATAATTTTAAAAGAATACTTTAAAATGTAAGAATAAATGTAAAAACAAGGTTATGATGATAAAGAAACAAAAAACAGGTTGTACTATATATAGATGACAATTGACATTTAGTTTTTTGAAAGCGGTAATGGAATGGTAGGCTGTATGAAGATAGGGATGTTAAGAAAGGAATCTCAATAAAAGTCAAAACATACCGTTGGATGTGGCACTGCGGGAGGCGGTTGAAACACTGGCAGTGTCAAAAACTCTAGTTAGCAGTGTCAAAAAAAAAAAAAGTTCTAGTAAAAATAAACGTATACATACATACACATATATACACATACAAACACACACACACACACACACACACACACACACACACATATATATATATATATATATATATATATATATATATATATATATATATATACATATATATATATATAAAAGGAGAAGTAAAAGAAAGTATAAATGGAAGTGAGAAGATTAAATAGAGGTTTATGATCGAGACTTTTTTAAAATGTTGATGATTTGGGAGTATGCGAGTGATAGATTTTGCTTGTCGGTTTTTAAGTTAAGTGGTTTGTAGTCTAATTGAATGAAAACACTTTCCGTAAGTAGTCTTTTGTCGTGGTTAGGTACTGTGGCAAGAATGGAGGTATTGTCAAAGTCAAATGTGTGGTTTGAGGTTAAGGCGTGTTCAGAGAGTTTAGAAGCAGTAGAGTTCTTAGAAGTAATTGAGTATTTGTGTTGTTTGATGCGGTCTTTAAGTTGGTTTTTGGTTTCTCCAATATAGGCGGAGTTACAATTGGTGGTAGAGCAAGGAATGCGGTATACGATATTAGAGCGGTGTTGCGGAGGGATGGGGTCTTTTAGGTTGGAGTAAATATTGGCAAGTTTGTTATAGTTTTTAAAAGCAACTCGCAGGTTGGGAATAGAGGAACGTAAAGATTTTTGAATTCTATCCGAAAGTAAAGGGATGTATGGTAGAGGTCTATATAAAGGAATGGGGGGCTGATTTTGAGAACTAGAGAAAGAGATGGAGGATGAGGGGCGGGTTTTGTAGTCAGTAATAAGTTTTTTAATGGTGTTGGAGGGGAAGTTATTAGACAATAGTATCTGTTGTATGCGTCTAGTGTTTGTTTCCCTTACCTACATGAAACAAACACTAGACGCATACAACAGATACTATTGTCTAATAACTTCCCCTCCAACACCATTAAAAAACTTATTACTGACTACAAAACCCGCCCCTCATCCTCCATCTCTTTCTCTAGTTCTCAAAATCAGCCCCCCATTCCTTTATATAGACCTCTACCATACATCCCTTTACTTTCGGATAGAATTCAAAAATCTTTACGTTCCTCTATTCCCAACCTGCGAGTTGCTTTTAAAAACTATAACAAACTTGCCAATATTTACTCCAACCTAAAAGACCCCATCCCTCCGCAACACCGCTCTAATATCGTATACCGCATTCCTTGCTCTACCACCAATTGTAACTCCGCCTATATTGGAGAAACCAAAAACCAACTTAAAGACCGCATCAAACAACACAAATACTCAATTACTTCTAAGAACTCTACTGCTTCTAAACTCTCTGAACACGCCTTAACCTCAAACCACACATTTGACTTTGACAATACCTCCATTCTTGCCACAGTACCTAACCACGACAAAAGACTACTTACGGAAAGTGTTTTCATTCAATTAGACTACAAACCACTTAACTTAAAAACCGACAAGCAAAATCTATCACTCGCATACTCCCAAATCATCAACATTTTAAAAAAGTCTCGATCATAAACCTCTATTTAATCTTCTCACTTCCATTTATACTTTCTTTTACTTCTCCTTTTATATATATATATATGTATATATATATATATATATATATATATAACTTACGTCAGTTCGAACAAGAAATAATAAAAAAAAAGGGAAAAAGGATCCGAAATGAAGCACGTGGTTACTCAAAGAATACTGACTTTATTGCCTTAGTAATGCCATATATATAGTATTACACTTTGTTTACACTTCATAGATAGGATTAACTTAGGATTAACTGTTATATTGTCTTACCTCTAACCATAACTCCCCCCCGCCAGTTTATGAACATTCCTCATAAACTAACACAGGGTAACTGACGTAATACATAACCAAAATACAACAACTACAAACAAACAAAAAGAAAAGATATAATCGCCGTTGGAGTTCCTAGAACCTCCAGAGTAAGAATAGCATAAAAAACAATAAAAATAAAATTAAAAGACACTGTTATCTTACAACCAAAAGTGAACAACAAAATCAAATTAACTTTTTAGCGTCGGTCCCTAGCTTGTAGGAGATAGAAAAGAGGATATCCCACTACTGTAGTGACTCCGTCTCTATCGGGAGTTTTAACTGTTCTATGTGAACAGTCCTCCTTTTTCTGGGATCCTTCAGACTTTGGATCGTACAAACGTTGTGCTCTCTAAGTATGATTACCTTGAATGGTCCCTCGTAGCGCGCCAATTCCTTCCCCCTATTGGATCCGACCCTACGATAGACGACCGTCCCTATTTTTAATGCACCCATTCTATCTCTGAGGTTCAAATTAACCTTTTCCATCCTTTTCCGCTTCTCTTTCTCTATTCTCCCTTTCGTTTTATCCCACACTTTCCTTATTTGCGCTCTGTTACACGTTATCTGTTGAGCGTGATCCTCGCTCGTGACTGTTTCCTTCCAATCTCGACGCCGTATATTTATTCCGAACAGTACCTCGACTGGGGAAAACCCTGTAACGGAGTGGATTGAATGGTTGTAGGCCGCTACCGCCCTCTGCATTGCTACGTCCGCTTCTAATCCCTGCTCCCCTTGATATATACGTAGGTGATCACTTAGGGTGCTATGCAACCTCTCGATACCTCCCCTGCCCTTTGGATGTCCCGGCGTATTGAAATGCCAACCTATAT